GGCATCTGCTGGTGTGTACTGCTGTGTGGGGGTCTGTACAGGTGTGCGCTGGTGTTTCCTGGCCTGTCCTGGTGTACAGTGGTGTGTAATGGAGTGTGCTGATGTCACCCGTGTGTCCTGGKGAGCACACAGCACCAGAGCTCTGCGCCACAACCACTGCTGCGTGTCCTCCCCCTGCCTGTCCACGCAGCTCGGCCAACACTGACCCTCTCTAGCGCAGCCCAGCCCCTGCCCAGCCCTCCCCAGCTGCCCTGCCCTCTCGCCAGCCCAACCAGCAGAGCAGCCCAGGCGGGAGGTGGCCCCGCAGCAATGGCCACCGCAGGGGGCAGCAGAGCTGGGGACATTCGCCCCACAGCCCAAGCTCCAGGGTAGCGGGCTGTGTGTGTCAGAAGGCCCATCAGCCTCCATGCTGCAACTGGCCCCAGGGCATCAGTGACACTCGCTGACCCTTCTTTTGCTGTCCAGGAGATTCCCAGCTCTCAGGCTGCCTGCAGACCCCCTTACCAGCCCCTCTCTCCAGTACCACTGCTCCTTTCCTCTTCTCCAGGTGTATCCTTGGTCCCCCAAGTGTCTTTTTGCAGGTTGGGACATTGGTGCTGGTCCACCTGGCAGCAGGGTCCCCAGTGGCTGCTGCTGCTCTGCAGAGCAATTGCCTGTTGCCCTATAGGGTCCCAAGGGGACCCCACACTGTCCATGGTGAATGCAGACCCAGCTGGACAGGCACCACTGCATCTGAAAACCCGTCCAAGGGGTCTGTGTCATGGACGAAGACCTGAGCAATCACTGGGCTTTTCAAATGGCTCAGGATTTGTTTGAGTTTGCCCCAAGACCGGCCCATGAGAGTGAAGGTGACAGGAATGACTGTGTAGGCACCCTTTTCTGTGCCTGCAGGGTCCCCTCTGCCACCTGTGGGAGTGCAGAGTTCTCCCTTGCCTGGACATTCATTGCATTTGCACTGTACCTTTGGGTGACTCCACTTGAGTTTGTGGAGCATGATTCACAGCCCACCCCGAGGCACATGGTACCCTTGGAGATACCTTGTGAGATTTCAGCCTAAAACGACTCCAAAGGGACATGGCTTTCCATAGAACCGATGCTGTGTGCCCTGGAGGAGACATTTGGGTATGCTGGACAATGCAGGCATCTGTCTTGGCCATGCAGCCTATGTCACCAAATCAGATAACTGCACTGAATTATATTAGCATTGTACACTGTAATGATCTGCCTGGGTCTCTGCTTTATACTGCATGGTGCTCCTGTATTAGTGGAAGGGGTCATTTGAGATGACTGTGGACGTTCCCCACCTGGCCCTCTCCTGAGGAACCATGAGGATTTAGGTCTCACATTTGCTCCATCAGAGCAAGCAAACAGGGGCACCTTTGTGGTATCTGCTCTGTCTCTTCAAGCAGGTGTTTGGGTGTTGTCCGCTGACTCACACCTTCCATCACCAGTGATTACAAGAGGAGCTTAGGGAAGAAACTCCCATGCACATGACAGCACTGTGCACACTTCAGTGCGAGCGAGCAACATCCCACCTTCTGTATGTGGAGGTCACGGGAGGAATGTGAAAGCCATCCCAGAGCAGGGGCTTGTGAACCAGCATGGAATGGCCACATTGAATCATCTGAATCTATGAGCCCCCTTCTCGCCCCTTTCTGAGTGTCCTGCCTAGTAGGGGCTTCCTAAGTAGGGCCTTCCAGAGTGGGACATTTCTAACTTGCAGAGATAGTCATGCTCTGACGAAAGAGACTGCAATTTTGGAATCCTTCTTTCTCTACTCATTAGGACAGGACCACAGGTGTGATTCTTTTGGTTTCCTTCATTTTCATTTCCCAGAAGGAGGGAACACAAGGGACAGGGCAATTGGTGAGTTCAGCTGGGCCTCTGCTCCTGAGCGGGGCCAGGCTCCTGGGACGGAGGCAGCTCGTGACAACCTGTGAGCCCTGCCCAGAGACGCAGTGTGCAGGAGCAGCTGCTGTGCCAAGAGCAGCAGGGCTGCGGGCACTGCCTGCTGCTGCGCACAGCAGAGGAGAGAAGGCAGCGGGAGTTGAAGGGCAGTGTGGAGCGGGAGCACAGAGGAGATCTGCTCAGCTCTTGACACGGTGAGTTTTTGCTTACAGCACAATGCTACTGAGCTTCTTGAAGCGGACTTCAGAACCCATCCCACCCCATGGCTGACAGCAGTTTTTGCTTCTTTCTCCTGCCTTTTCCAGTGCTGAGGAAGAGGAGCTGCTTCAGAGCAGGGATTCTCTAACATAGCACGTAGGGGCAGGGCATCCTGCTGCCTTCCCCAACAGAAAGGGCAGTGATGTGAAGCTGGGCTGTGCAGACAGGGTGAGAGGT